TAAAAAAAATTGTTTTTCATAATTTTAAAATTTGAAAACTTTATATTTTTGTAAAATAAATAAAATTTATTTTTAGTCTTTATAAAATATTCTTCTTTAATTTTCATCCTTCTAATATCTAAATTCATTATTTATTTGTTTTTAATAATTATTTTAAAGTAAATAAATAATATTTAAAAATAAAAATAAAATTTAGAAGTGTAACATATTGACAAGGTTTGAGATAACTATGATATCACATGAAAAGGTCACTTAACCTTATAATAAATATACTTAATTAAAAATAATCATATTATAATAAGGACTAAAAATATAATTTCAATTTTTTTATCTATATAAAGTACCAAGATTCAAATCTATGATTATATGTATATATTATCTTAATTAGTGACAAATCCAAGATCTTAAATTAATGAAATCAATTTAAAAAAAAATTGATAATCATAAAAGAATGAAACATATATATAAAAAATAATTATAGTGAACAATATTATATATATATATATATATATTAATAATTTAATTAAAGTGAAGAGATATATTTATCCACCCTAACTTATTATCGACCGACTTTAATGATCTAAGAATATTTTCAAATTTTAAATAGATTAAAAGAAAAAAAAAATAAAAATATATTTAAATTTTTTTATTTTCATAAAACATGCGGAAGTTTAAACATCTTTAATACTACTTTTTATTTTATTTTATGAATAACTCTTTTTAATAGAACATCGAACTTAAGTCTACTTCCACCTTCTTTAACCCATTAAATACTATATATTTGATAAAACTACTAATGATTTATCCTTTTACATAACTTTTGGAGTCAAATAATAAATTGAATAGAAGTAATATATATATATAGATATATTCCTTCTAGATGAAACTATAGTTTATTAATTATAATGGAAACACGTCCTTAGTACATGTTGTGAGAGAAAGAATAAGAAACAAGTAATCAAGTTGCGCTGGTGATTGAAGTCTCTCAACCAAAACCAACCCGCAAAAGCCACCAAATTATCCTGAAAAGCATGTTCTCCGTATCTCACCCAAGGCTTTCTAGAAAATGCACTTATTAATTCATCTTTAATAAAGTAATTATTCTAATATAATGAGATGCAAAATAAAATGTTTAAATATTTAAAATAATTATTTATTAAAATTGAAACTGAAGACTATACTAGTCAAACAAAAACAATATTGTACTAATATATGTGCGTGATGGATGATTTAAAAGACGTAGTTATAAAAAGACAAAGACGAAAGGACAAGTATTCGCAAAGAAAGCTGGTTGAAGCTGTCCGATCCAATGAAAGTGTGCAAATTGGGAATTATATAGTGCCATGATTCAGCATTCAACACATTAAACTAATTGTGTACAGGAAAAGAAAGGGGTAACCGGTTCAAGCTCCCTTCATCATCAAACTCAATCACTTTGTTCTTAGTCGCATTATCAACTTTCCTCCTTTTAATTTAATATTTCAATTTTATTTTTGTTTATAAAATAAATTATATTAAAAATATATATATTCACTTTATATGAAATTATAATTTTCGATACAGATTACTTTTCTATTTTTAATGAAATACTCTGCATGAATACCATAATTAAAATAAAATAAAATAATTTATAATATTTTACTCGCAAAATTAATAATTTCAATGAACTCAAAACACTCCACCAGTAATATATGTCGAAACTAGTATTTTTAGTAACATTCTTTTTTCAATCACCTTTTTTTTATCAATGATTTGAAATCGAAAATTTGTTAGAAAATCAAGTTTTGTGTGACTACAACAACTTATTAATATATTATTCTATTTGATATATCATTACAAGAAAATTATCATATATTGACACGCATCCTATAGTGATACGATATGTATCACTAAAAATTACTTTTACCTACACAATAAATATAATATATGTTAGTATATTGTTAAAAAATGTGAGTATGAGATATAGTGACACAAAATATGTTGTTAAATCTTTACTATTAAAAAAATGTCATTTTCTTGCAAATTTTCCTGCAAAAAATATTCACAGAAATTTTTACGAATTTTCTTGCAAAAAAATATTCGCATAAATTTTTTGCGAATTTTCCTGCAAAAAATTATTCGTAGAAATTTTTTACAAATTTATTTACAAGAAATAATTTACAGATATTTCTTACAAATTTTGCTACAATTTTAATAATCATAGAAATTTTTTTCCATGGTAAAAATTTGCAGAAAATATTGTAAGAATTTTATTTTGTTTCTTGCAGATTTTCTTGCAAAAATAAATTCGCAAGTAATGTTTACTAAATGGTAGAAAAATTTTGCAGGTAACTTTTCCTGCAGATTTTCTTGCAAATTTTAATCCACAGGAAAAATTAAAAAAATATATATTTAAATTTATAAGTTTAATATTTAAAAAAAACTTCAAGTCCCACATTGATTGAAAAAGTAATTAAAGAGTATATAAGTTGAGACAACACTTACCTTATAAGTTGATTTGTATGGTTGAGTGTTAGACTTATAATTTACAATTTTAGAATTTAAAAGATTATGTATCACATGTTGGAGGCATGAAAATAAATGCTTCGGATGAATTCATTGTGAGCATTTGAAAGTTGAAAAATTATTGATAGATTTATAGTAATTTCTTTAATTTTTTTCGTAAAAAATATTCTTTTGCAGGAAACTTTCCTACAAAATTTTTTTGCAGGAAATTTTTTTCACAAGAAATTTCGCAGGAAAATTTCCTGCGAATTTTAAAATTCGCAAAAAAATATTATCCACGAAGGTATTACCTGCAGATAAAATTTTGTAGAAAAATTCGCAGAAAAAGTCGCATGTAATAAGAGAAATTTTAGTATAGTGCTTGTTCAAAATCAATACTAAAATTGTATGTAGTCACATGTCAAATAGATATATACCTACATATATTGTACCTATATGTTACTGTATGTAACATTTCTTGTAGTAGTGTATATTTAATATATTTGATATATTTAAATCAAATTCAGTTATATTTACATTTAATGTTTTTTATAAATCTTATATTAAAAATAAATAATTTAATGTATTGTGAATATAAAATGAATTTAATATTTATATCATATAAAATAATAATAATGTAATAAGTAAATTTATTCTTATATTTATCTGTGGACAAATAGATATTATAGTTTTTGTCATTCCATATTTTTAATCTTTTGTAATTGTCCAATTGATGTGACTTTTTCTTATAAATACTACTTATATGAGAAATTGAAATTTGATAATAAAGTGATTTGTAATAATAACCGTGTTGGTACAGTAGTGAGTGGTTTTGTAGGTTGGTTAAATAGGGTGGATGAGTTCTTTTATAGTGAGTGATTTTCTTATTAAATGATCTTCATTTATGATAAAATGCATGAAAACATGACTAGAGAGTGTAGTTGGTTAAATAGGGTGGATGAGTTGTTTTAAATCTTTTAGTATAAAATTAAAATTTGATGGATAAAAAAAATTATAAAAACCTGAATTTTTATAGCCAAGATTAATATTTTGTTTAAGAGAGATGATTTAGTAGGAATTTGAGAGAAAAAATGAAAGGATTAACTAAAACTTGAAAACATGTTTAAAAGAGAGAAGCTAAGTAACTTAAAAGAATATATGATTGCACGCTCTAATGAGATTTAATTCCCTTCTCTTCATGTTGAATTTGTTAGAAATAACTTAACTAAAGCTTCTTAAGACACTTGTTCTTTAGACTCTTATGTCTATAATTTTCTTCTCTATATGTCAAATTTGCGTGGAATTATTTTACAAAAGGTTCTTGAGACAAATTTTCTTTTGTGATTGTTTTGTTTTTATTTTCTTTTTTACATGTCAAATTTTGTGAAAGTTTCTGAAAATAAACTGTTTTAATGACCGTTTTATCTGTGACAGCAATAAAGGATGAAACACTTATATTTGACTATGAATTTTTTTAGTTTTGAATCATAACCAATTACAGAAAAAATACCAACTTTTTTGAACAATTAGATCTATATTAAAATATATTTTATGTAAATTTTAATTATAATTTTTGAATAAATATTTATACAATTATTAATAAAATAGTTATTTTAAATAATTAATTATATAAGCACATGATTACATATTATGATAAAGCATAATTATACAATTGCTTACATATTATCTATATTTAACTATTTTTAAATATAATTTCTATGAGAATATCTCGATAAAAAAAAAAAAAGCTATGATTTATTATTAATGTGAAGTGAAATATTAGTAATTCTATCTACTTTTTTTATTATTAAAATTCATAGTAAAATTTCTATTACTAAATTTTAAAAAATTATTAAAATGAGACATGAGACTTATTAAAATTTATAATTTATAAAAAATATTTAATAATTAAAAAAATACTAACATTTTTTTACTTGTAAAATTTATAAGTATGAGAACTTAAAATTATATAAATAATATTCACTTACTACTAACATTTCTTATCACGTGAATTATTTATATTTATTATAAAAAAATATTAATATGTGTAAATATGTGTAACTATTTTTTATCTTTATACTTTTGTGGATTATAACATCCTTTAAATATAAGAAGGTAACAATTATGGTATTCTCTTCTTTTTAGATAATTGCTCACAGTGGTCTATTTTATTTTATAAGAATTTAAGAGACATGACTTGTGTACATAAAAGAAATTATGTTTTTGGAGGAAAGAAGCGAGTGTGGTTGTATCGTAGTTAATATATGTTATGTGTCACGTTGTGATTCCATCACGTGTAGTGTGAGTTGATTGACACGTGTGCATGGAAACTCGCAAAAGCATGCTTCCGAATCCCATCCCATCTCCAAAAGCAAAACAAGAGAAACGCATAAACAGAGAGCGCCACGTGTCCCTACATTCTCCCTCCTCCCTCCACGTGTCGCCCCCTTATCCCGCAGCCCAGTCTCGTCATTTCCACCCCCATTCTCGCCCTTTTATTATCTGAAAAATCCCCTTTTCCCTTTTTTCTCTCTCCACCCTCTGCAACAAAACTACCTCATGTGGAACTAAAATAAAACCTATGGGTTTCTTGAGCAACTGCCAAGTCATGACCACCAAATATCTTCCCTTACTCCCACCACCCTGACCCTCCCAATCTCTTTATTACTACTTCCTTCCAATGGCACAAGTTCAAGACACAGACAATCACCGCATTTCCTCGCCAACGCAAGTTCCCATGGCCGATTTCCCGCGAGATCTGTTGAGAACCTTCATGGGAGTCAACAGGCATCACAATTTGCCTCTTCCCGTCGACGATCACCACGTCCACGAGGAACTCGAGCTCAGCCTGGGGCTCTCTCTCAACGGTCGATTCGGGGTGGACCCCACCGCCAAGAAGATAAAGCGAACCACCTCCATTCCCGAGTTCGTTAGAGACGAGGATCCCGGGTACGCTGCCGTGGGGTGCACGCCGCCTCTCGTGAGGACGTGCTCCCTGCCCACCGAGACCGAGGAGGAGTGGCGCAAGCGGAAGGAGCTGCAGACGCTGCGCCGGATGGAGGCGCGCCGGAAGCGCTCCGAGAAGCAGAGGAACTTGAAGGCTATGAGGGAACAACAACAACAACAACAACCACCACCCAATCCGGTGGAGCAAGGTGCAGGGGGATTCGGTGAGGCTCCCTTGGGTAGAACCGTCTCGTTGACCACGCGGGTCAGTGGACTCGGCTTGAACGGGGATAACGACAGAGAGAAGATGGTGTTGGCAGTCACACCTCCCTCGCCTTCGCAGGCTTCCGTTGCTTCTTCCGCAACCTCAGAAGCTGAGTCTCACCAAGGTCAAGGTAAATAAATTATAATTACTATTTTACTATTTTATTTTACCCTTTTCCCTTTTTCCTTTTTAGCCCCTTATTTATTTGCTTTTTAGTCCTTTTCATTCTTTTTTTCATTTTAGGATATTATATTAGTCATCAATCAATTCCCAATATTCCCTTTTTTTCTTTTTCAATTTGGAGTTTTTTATTTAAAAGAAAATAAGTGTTAATTTGTTGCATGAGTCGATAAAGATAAGTTTTTGGAATATGTAGATGCTAATTTGTTGCATGAATTGATGAAGATGGGTTTTTGGATTTTATTGTATGGGTCACATGGGAGCAATCACCGACCCTGGGATTCACTGTCGAGGGTGTCAGATCATGTCTGCGCCTCTCAAAATTAATCAGAATTTTGTCATGGATCAATTTGGCAATTAATCGGTCATTTCATTTTTCAAGCAACCCGATGATTCACCTAAGAGTATTATTTGAGCTGAATTTGCTGTTTAATTTGAGATGAAGATCTTGGATTGGTAATTGTTTACGTTCTTGGTGTTGTCATAGGATGCCTAAGAAAACTGTTTGCAGATTCCTAAGACGCTATAGAACCTTTTATACGGCTTTGAGTTTCTGGCATTTTATTAGGTAATTGGTATTAAATGCTACTGGTATGTCTCACGTGAAAAAATAAGATAAAAAAAAATAAAAGCCTCATTCCCGGCAGATTCTTATTATGTTGAAGAAGTCTAAAAGCTGGACCTAGAATATATTGATAAACATAATACTGGAGTTGAACACACTTATTCCTTTGCTAACAGGATTAGTATACTGATGTTTAGAACATTATTTGTCATTTAGGGTCCAATGTTAACTAGTACAATAATCAAAATAATTTTGAAGGAGAACTAGTTTACAGAATCTATTATTTACATGATTGAGAGTTAGGAATTCTCACTAAGCTTGTTGGTATTAACTAGAGCTAGGTTGAGACTGAGAGTAGTTTCAACTCAATAGTTATCACGGATACTTACTTTTGCATAGTTGTGTCAAAGAAAGTAAGAGAAAATAATGTTAAAAAATTTGTTTAAATTTACCTTTTCTTTGTTCTGTAATGTTCATTGAAACAAGTTTTATTTTTAATTTTTTTTTGGCTGGATTTGGGCCTCAAAATCATTGTTAAATGAGCAGATTTTTTTATACTAATGACTATAGGCAAACAAACTTATGAATATTCCTTTGGAAAGTAATGATGCAAGTTTATTGAAGAGTTCTTTAAATTGTATTTATTTTGAAGGGCACAACAATATCTTCTAAGTATTTCTAGAGAAGATTTCAAAAAGGTTTGTTCCAATTAGAAAAATATTATAATTCATAAAATGCTTTGTCCTCAAGTAACTATGCTATAGAGGTTGATTAATCTAGATTGTTATGCTCTAATTACTATTCTGCCTCCAAATTTCTAACAACTACTTTCTACCTAGTATATATGTATGTATTTTATGGTATTTTTTGCCAACCTGTTTATGCAGGAACAACACCAGCGGATGCTAGAAGCCCTACTAGTGTTAACTTGTTGACAGATAGTGAAATGAAATCACCAATCATCTCAAGAGCCATGGTTAGAGAGAACAGAGAGATTGCTGCAGTCTCAATGACGAGAAGTCAGTCTAACAAGCATTCACCACCACACAACAGAACCAAAGACATTGTGAGGAACTTGTTGGAAGACATGCCCTCTGTATCCACAAAAGGAGAGGGCCCTAATGGAAAAAGAATTGAAGGTTTTCTTTATAGGTATGGGAAAGGTGAGGAAGTGAGAATAGTGTGTGTTTGCCATGGCAGTTTTCTCACCCCTTCTGAGTTTGTTAAGCATGCTGGTGGTGGTGACGTGGCAAACCCATTGAAGCATATTGTTGTTAGTCCAACCTTTTTGTGAGGCTAGAGAAAGAACCAATCATGAGTGATCTAATTTTTACTCTATTGATTCCTATGTTCACTCTTATACTCACATTTACTTCTAATCTGTCTGTTATGTTCAAGTTCTGTTTTCATTTGAAATCATAGATAATATATTATTATGGAAGAATCTGATTTCTTATTCAAGTATTCCTCCTCTTTGTTCTTATGAGGCATTAGAATATGAGAGGACAATGATACTTTGTTACTTAGTTTTTTTGGTTAGATGTTAGATTTCTTGAAGTTAATTTAGGTCTTCATTTTTTGTTTCTTCCGTTGTAGTAAAGTGATGTTACATATATTATTTTAAGCTAAAATTAGTGCATGCACTTTAACAAAATCTAGTAAAAGACCTGTTTTATAGTGATTTTTTTTTTTTTTGTTTAAAGATAGAAGACAATCCAATTTAGGGAAAAAAGACTTATTCCCAAGTTTGTAATAGGCCCTATTCAGAATAATTAGAATTTTCGTGAGATGATGATCATACTCAACGCATAATCTCTTTAACATTTATGGCACTACTTGTACATTACTTTTTTAATACAATTAAACAATATAAATTCATGTTACTCCAACTTTGATCTAAAGTTATATTTAATCTTTGAAATTTTAGGTAATTAAAAATTATATTAAATTTTGATCTAGATCATCGAGTGTCTCAAAAAAGTAAGAAATTTTGGGATTATATTTTTTAATTCATTTGTATTTTTAGTTATATTTATTGAAATTATAAAAATTAAGGGGTCTTATTTTATTTAATGAATTCTGATTTCAATAAATTTTAATAATAGTGTGTCGTTAACACTATTTTCAAAAGGTGGTAATTTTTATTAGTAATATATAGAGAATTCAAGTGATCAAATTTGAGGAATAATTTTTACTAGTATATATAAAGGGAGTTTAAGTGATTCAAAGTCGAGGTGATATTTTGTTATCTAATAAATGATAAATGAGTATTTGCATTTTTCTCAACCTTGAATCTGGGATGAGAAAATATTAAGTTAAATTTTAAATATATAGATTAAATTTATTTTATAAAATTAATGTTTAAGTTTAGTTTATTATTTTTTTTAGGTTTGATTTGATTATTTTAAAATCTGAGTTTAACTTATTAATCTATTTAGAAATGTATTTATAATAATTATGTTAATTAGATTAATAAATTTAATTTTTAAAATATAATTTATTTAATATTATTAAAATTTAAATCCTAATAATATAGGAAAAAATAAATTCTTTTGAATAATTCATACATAATTATATATATTATATATTGGATACTCACGCACAAAAAATAAGTTCATAAACCTATAATAAAAATAATAATTATATAAAAAAATATTTTAAATATTGATAATTTATTTTTATTTTATAAATTTATTTATTTATATTTTTAATAATATATA